CTCTTCCCCCAGCCTGTAGCGCTGCATGGGGTTGTTGTGGCCGAAGTGCAGGACCCGGCACTTGGCCTTGTTGAATCTCATACAGTTGGCCTGGGCCCATCGATCCAGCCTGGGATCATAGCAACCCCGGTGGCATGAATTAAAGAAAGAGCGCTCACAAAAGAGAAATCTTTGCATTACCAGGCTTCCAGTCCTCCTGGAAGCCTCCCTTTCTGTCTTGCATGTGCTACAGCAACCCAGAGTATGGCCAGACAGGACATGCTCTTCTCGGATGGCCAGGAGCGGAGCTCAGTATCCCGCTTCAAACGTCGCATGAGGTAAAAATTGCGTTGCTTTGGATTCGGCACAGGGCTCAGCCTGCCAGAGGTGCTTCTTCCACAGAGTAGCAGGGCGATTCTTTTCTTTCTTGCTCCTTTGTCATGTTAGCGGCACATGTGCCCTGCCAAACAGGAAGCCCGGCAAGCAGCTACAGGGGAGCAAAACTTGCCTGGATTCGTATATTCTAGATTCTCTCGTTACATATCCGCAACGCAATGGATTCAAACAAAGGTTCGTAAGACTATTTTTCCAAAAATCTGCTTGAAGGGAGATTATAGCAGAAGAAATAACCAACAGTAGTCCCAACAGAATGAAATCACGCATCAGCCAAAGAGTAAAGGCTGAATAAACCACCCAGAACCTGGCTCTGAACAATCAAAATAATTTTTGCCTGTGCTAGTTTTGAGAGGAAGCGGCAGAATTAGACCTGGAGGTTAGACGGAGGTGAATGAACAATAAAATGATTAGGAATATCAGATTTCCCAATCCAAATAGTATTACAAGGCTGGGACTGTGCAATCAAAGAGGCACAAACTGCAAACGGGAGAGCAAGGGTTCCACATGATCTCTTCCAAACAGCACAAAAATAAGTAAATAGCAGAAAGGAAGAAACAAAACTTGAAAGCCATAAATGAAAATCTGTAATCGAAAACTAGTTCCCATAATACTGCCAGAGAATATCAGTAACATCAGGTTATTTGAATTAATATCTTAAAATGGAGTAAGAATGAACTTTTCAACAGGAACTTTGGACGTTCTTGATGCAGGGCACGGTCCAATCACCAATCAGCAAGGAGTAGGAAGATATTTCCCCAACAAATGAGCTGTTTTTTTAATTATTCACCATGACAAATGTACAGTACCAAAATATACGGTACCACTTAAGAACAAGAGACCATGAACTGTACGACTCACAAGTATAACCTAAAATAGCAACTTCTGTATATCGTAGTAGTCCAAACCCAAAGAGACGAGGAGGAGAAATGGTTCAGGAATCTATAGGCAAAGTTATGAGAGTTTAAAAACATGGGAAATAGAGGAAGCAGAAGAGCTTACAAGGAGGCAAAATGCAAGTGTATGCAAGGAGCCTATATCGAAAGAAAGAAACGAAGCTGTGGCTAAGGATGGCAGACGAAAAAAATAGCTGAGGATGAAACAGAAGAAACCCGAGACTGAAGTGCAGTCGGGCAAGCAGGTGGATTTTAAAATTGCCAGCACGCCTGCCTTCTGTGAAGGTAAGTGTTGTTTCAGAGCGGCACCCACCAGCAACAAATAGAATAAAGAAGGTGAACAAGAGCAGCGCACCAGAGAATATTTTATTGAGACCCCAGAAGGAAAGAATGTTTCATAAAATCCAAGGCACAACCTGAGATCAAAGAGGATAAAGGTGAAAAGAGTAAATTGGCGTATGCCAAGTTTCAGGCAGAACAACTCCTCTAAGGTATCGAAAGACAACGGCCGTAGCTCTCCAGCACTGCCTGGGAACAGGGTCAACGGGTGAAGGTGGGCAACTTCCCTGCGGGCGATGGCAATTTCAGAAGCGATACAGCGGCTAGAAAAAGCAGTTCAGGATTTAAAAACTGACAGCAGAAAGGCAAGTAGAAAGGACGGGCTAAGTTTAAACGAACTGGGTAGGGAGGGGGCAGATGTCAGGTTTAAGAACGAAGAAAACATTTTTCTGGGAACTCGGTAACCTGGTTTTGCAGGGGAGCTGAGGGAGGCGAATTATCGGGGGAGGTCACGGAGGGCGGGGTGCCCCTAAGAGGTGAGGTCGAAGAACAGCATTTTAAAACCAAGGCGGGGGGGGAGGAAGGAGGAGAGGACGGGGAACGGAGAGAAGCATCGCGGGGGG